GAGAGGGTCCTTTGTCACAGCGAGAGGACTGCCCTCCACACGGGAACCCAGGGCTGGCTCAGAATTAAACCGGGGTGCTCACCTGCGGCCACACTGAGATCTGAGCAGCTCTGAGGAGCGTATTCCCTCATCCTCCTCACACCCTCCTATGCCCGTAAGGTGGACGAAAGTGTGTTGAGCCTGTCACCCACATGCCCGCTTCTCCCTTGGGGAGGTGGAGCTCAGGTGCTTTCTCCTCCCTGTGTCCTTCCTGCTGCCAGCAGCTCTCTCGCCTGCCAGGCAGAAACCGCAGAGGGCCCTAAAGGCCTCCAGGGCCCAGGAGAATGAGCAGGCCGAGTCTGAGTAACGTGTCTTCCTTTCAGGCGGGGAAACCCTCTGCATTTGTGCAAAGATAGATTTAAGAAGATCCAGAAGCTCTGGCACCAGCACAGCATCACAGAGGAGATCGGACACGCGCAGGAGGCAAATCAGACTCTGGTTGGCATTGACTGGCAACATCTATAATTGCTTCACCGCCAAAAATATGAACTTGGAGTTTTGTAACCCGGTTGGCTTTTTAAGAAAGACAGTGGGAAATAGTTCTGCTGAAATTTGAAATAAATTCTTTATTTAAATTTTCCTTCCCGGTTTTATTTTTGTAGTTTCGGGCTCCAGGGACTGACGAAAATCCTCTCCCACTGCAGATTCTCTCGCAGTGTTGCTGTGTGTCCCTCACACGTCACAAGCCAGGTCTGAGGACCTGGCCTCCCTGCTTTGGAGCTCAGCGCTTCAAGAGTGACTCCGGGGCCTGGAGCCCACAGGCCGGCACTGAGCCAGAGTAGGCAGGAGCTGTGTCTCTGTGACCCACCAGGGTCCCACTCACACAGCTCTCCATGACCTGGCCTGGGGACCAGGGGGGTGTCCCCTGCTGCCCAGAGAACCTCTGAGAACAGCACTGGTTCCAAAGGCAGGGTCTGCGGCTGGGAGCGCCTGTGTGGGAGGAGCCCGGAGGCCGGCGTGCTTTCCTGGGGCACTGCCTGGCTTCACACAGCTCGGGAAGACTGGGTTCTGGGCTTTTGTGTTCCTCTGTTCTGGCCAGAACTTTGAGCTTTGAGAGAACTCACTTAAAGGGCTTTTTGAAAATTAAAAGACTCTCCTATTTTTCAGGTAGTAACATTTCTCTGTTCTCTCCAAGGCTAGACTGAGAGTGTGTGCTTCTAGGGTCAGACACTAGCAAAAATGAGACAGGGAGAACTCAGCACTGCGGGTGCACCCTGCCAGCATTTCCGGGAGCAGAGGGACGGCTTTGTGCTTCGACTCACTTAGGACCTCCGGGACAGGCTGCACCCAGGCTTCCTGATCTTCCTCAGCTTTACTGTTCTTACTAAGAGGGGCCTTCCTAGAGTGACAGCCGCTTAGAAAAAGAGCTTCCGACTCTGACAGGTCGCACAGCCACCCCCGCTTGATATGTGGGTCTCGGCTCGGGGGCCCGAATGCGCAGGCCAGGTGAAGCCAGGAACCCCGCACCTCTCTGGGAGACCGAGTCATGCACAGCGAGAGCCTCTTGAGTGTTTTCACCAGTGCAAGTGACCCCCTGGCTCAGCTTCCGATGAATTTCTCTTCCACATTGTCCCACTCAGCTCCGCCTGCTCCACCGCGTTCCCAGGAGCCAGAGCCCCATCTCTCTGCAAGGTCACGTACAAAAGCCTCCTCTTGAAAGGATGGCCTTAAAGTAATCTTTTGCTTTGGACTGGCTCAAAAAGCTAAGAGGAGCTCCAACAGGAGGAACCTGCGGGTTAGAAGCCACATCTCATTCCCAAATTTTTCTGGCTTTTAAAAATTTATTTATTTATGCAATCTGACTGGTCTGTGAGAAGAGTGATTAACGTTTATTTTGGCCTTTGACATACGATTTCTTAGCTTTTGAGTTCAGCTTCTTTGGGCTTTTTCATGCATTTACCATGTTTCAAATCATGAAACCAGGTTTCACCCTCTGAGTGGGTCATAAGCACTGTCACCAAATCTAACAGTGCCCCTGCTTTCGGGCCTGACCTCATAGAGCCTGGAGTTAGTGGAAGGTGTCCCTGGATTCCACTCCCCAAGGAAGTCGGAGTCTGGGGAAGATGAAATTGTAACACACACACCCTTTGATTTCATGATGTTAAGTTCGCTGACTTCCCTACCTAAGGAAACATCTTCCGCATGTTTTATGTTTATTGTAGAAATGTTTATATAACATGCTTTCCATATCAGGGGAAATCATATCTGTTTAATAAATTGGCTATAACTAATATCTGTGGACAACTTGGAAAATTTGGAATGTATCACATGTAAAAAATTGGAAGATATCCAAATAAATACTTTAGGTGTTGACATTACTTTGGGTTGGCCTACGTCTTCTTCCTGTTCTGTTCCACCCTTTGGTTCCCAGTAGTGCTCCCTGTGTCACCTTGCTGCAAAAGTAGGACATCTGTATTAGCATGAAGTTTAAGAGGCTTATATTATTAGTGTCAGTTACAGCTACCAGCCACGCCATCCTGACTCTCCCAGAGAAAGCTTAGTCAAGATTTCAGCCGATTAAATTTCATGTTCATTGTGACAGCTACGTCTCTTCGGGACGGTTTCAAGCCTCACATCCCTGGCACACAGGCATCGAGAACTGCCCACACACTTCCTGCTTTTGACCTGGTAGGAAGGAAGCTGTTTTATTTGCTGGCCTGTGAGAGCTCTGCTGTCCTTTTCAGAATCCTCTTAAAAGGAAAGCATTTTAACAAGACCTGGAATTCGGCCATCCTCCTGCCTCAGCCTCCTGAGTTCTGGGATTACAGGCGTGTGCCACCATGCCCAGCTGTCTGCCCCAGTCCTGTCACCAGTTCCAGGACCCATTGAGCCCTGACATATTCCTTGCTCTGTCCCTGTTCTTTTAAGCCACGTTTGTTGCTGTATATACTTAAAATAATGAGATTGGCCCTTTGGGAGTACATTTACGCATTTTTGACAAATGCACACAGTTGTTTAACCACTGAGAAAAAACAGTTGCATCACCCAAACAGTTCCTTCGTGTCCCTCCTAGCCCCAACTCCAGCTCCCACTACTGTCTGTCCTGTGCCTTCTAAGCATTGCATTAACGCAGCCACGTCGTGTGCAGCCTTTCCGATCAGCCTCTCTGCGAAGCCTGCTAGCATCTCCGTGCTTCCCCTTGGCTGCTGGCTGCTGGTGCATTGTGCAGCTCTCTGCCATCACCATGGGAAGGACATTTGGTGGCTTTGGTTGTTGTGATAGCCAGTTATGCATGCATGGGCTTTGTGTGGACCTGAATTCTCTCCCTCGAGTGAATAGCCAGCTTCCCTCTTGCTGGTCCCCGCTCTGCAGTGTTCTTGGGACAAGCTGGCCTGTTCTGACTTTGCCATCCACCCTCAGCTTGTTCTGGAGGACAGGATAAAATGCCACCAGCAAGGAAGGACAATCTGTGTCCCTTGGGACCCGAGGGCAACCCGTCTTCCCCACAGACATCCCGTCCTGTTCCTGACACACCGTGGCACTGTCTTTTGACCCAGGGGTGAGGCACGGGCCCTGGCTGCCTTGTTCCACTTCCACTCCAGCTAAGCTGCAAACCTGTTCGCCTAGCACAGCCAGGGCCCGTGTGAGGAGGGGCAGGGAGTGTGCCGAGCCCAGCCCTGAGCCTATGAGCCATACTGAGGTTACTCGGGGTTTACTTGCCATGCTGACTGCTCAGCCCTTAGACTCGCAGCATGATCCAAAGGCTACGAATTCCAGGACACCCAGCTGCCGTGTTGAGCGTGAAATGCCATTGCCTCCCGCTCTGTGATCTGGGATTCATTTTAAAGTCCTGACACCATGTCTCTACCTCCTAACCCCACCCAGAGATAGGCCGGCAGAATTTGGGAAGCTGCTGGCTGAGGGTTGCAGGTGTGGCTTGGGGCTAGAGCACTCACCTAGCACACCTGAAGCCCTGGTTCTGTCCCCAGCACAGCAAAAGAAACAGGAAATTAAATGCATCTCTGGATCAAACAAGTGATACTTGGATGACCCAATAGTCTTCTATCTGTCCTTTGCTTTTTGTTTGTACTGGGAGTTGAACTCAGGACCTTGTGCTTGCCAGGCAGGCACAGCCCCACTGAGCCACCCGCAGCCCTGCTCCTCTGTTCTTGCAGGTAGGAGGTGTAAGCAATGGCCACACCCAGGCCGTGTGACAAGGATTCCTTGTAAGGTTGGCGTCCGCACACTCGGGCTGAAATGACGCGCTGTAGAAGGGGGGCAAGGTAGTCACCTAACAAGAGCAATGTTCATGCAATACAGCTTTTAATATCTTACACAGCTGTTGACAGCACAGTCACGCATGTGGCCTAGAGCAGCACTTCTGTGGGTTCTCAGCACTCCCGAGACAGCGGGGAGCTCAGAGGTCCTCTCCAGAGATGTTGTGGATGATTCCCGTGTCTCAAGGTCATCAGGTCTGACCTGCACTGTGACAGGCGTCTGGCAAGGTGTCAGACATCTTTGATCGGAGCCCACATCATGCCCTGGGCAGCACCAGACATCTTACTATCCCTGTGGTGAGGCTTTTAGGTTAGCAGCGAACCCCAGCCCAGCACCAGGGCTCCTCAGAGCACAGACGTAAGTTGCAGGCCTCCTCGGTCTCCAGCTCCCAGCTTCCGTCTCCAGCCAGGTGGGAGTGGACCGTTTTGAGTACTCATCGAATTAGCAGATCTTGTAGGGGCCCTGCCGAGCTCCGGTCCCAGGTGAAATGTGTGCTCCTTCACCTGAACCTTGCCTCTCTCCTTCCTAGAGGAAGTGAAACCTCATACAGATGCAAGCCCAGAGAGAGAGGCTGTCTCAAGGAAGCCTCTTTGAAGTCAGACGCGGTGGCACATGTCTGTGATCCTAGGCTACTCATACTGAGGTAGGCCATTCGCAAGTTCAAGGCCAGCCTGGGCAATTTAGCAAGACCTATCTCGAAAAGGGTTGGGAATATAGCTCAGTGACAGAGCACTTGCCTGGCATCATGTGTGAGGCCCTGGGTTCACTCCTCAATATCACCAGCACCACCACCAAAAAAAAGAAAGCCTGATGCAGAATGGAGATCTGGGGAGAAAGGGATAAGCTCCCAGAGGACCCCATGCCTGCCACTGTAGACTGCTGTCCATGGGGATTGTGACAGCCACCCATGCAGGTGTCCCCGGCCCCACCAGGAGGGGAGGCCTGGCCTCCACAGGGTGCACTCCTGTCTGGTCGGTCACAGGCTGTCGTCCATACCTGAGGGCGGGTGTGGTGGCTGGGACAAGCGCCAGCCAAGTGCCTGAGAGCACAGCCCTTCCACTGTGTGCTCGGTGGGGGGACTAATCCCATCTTGATACTGTTCTGAGCCGTGACTACACCCTTCCTGTGGAGAGCACAGAACCAGTTACTCCCAGAGAAGTTTGTCTGTCCCTGCCTTCTGGCCTAAAGCGAACACAGCGACCGGCCTGTCCGCCTTGGGGTTAGCAAGACTGCTGCTGGCTGTTAGCTTTCTCAGACTCCTGTGCTTCTGCGTGAAGCACACGTTTTGGATGTTGCTAATAATGAAGCAACGTGGCGTTCACAGCAGCCAACGCTAGAGGGAGGCGGCCCTTAGGCGTGGCCGTGGTGTGAGGGTCCCCGGAGGAAGGTGCGTCCTGAGAGAGTCGCGCCTCATTCATTCGCACTGGGAGTCCTGTCACCAACAGGCGTTTGCCACATTCTTCAAGGGACCCTAAAACTTTACATTGCACCCCCAAGAAGAGATCATGAGGTCGAGCGGCAGCCGTGAGGGAGTCAGATGTGTGGTTGCCCGGAGTCCTCTACTCAGTGTTTGGGAAGGGACAGGCCCCATCAGCTGGCCTCGGCGGCCTGGCCCGCACCTGTGGCTTCCACCTGGTTGCCCTTGCCCAGATTTTTCAGGCTCTCCAGGAAAGCCTTCCAGGTCTCAGGCACGCTCTTCTCCAGCAGCCAGCCTTCGCTCTCACAGTCTGGGTCCTCGGGGTTGCACAGGCCCTCCAGCGCTGTGTGCAGGTAGCGAAGCCCAACCGTGATGGCCACCTGCAGGGCGGGACCAGGATGGAGAGAGGTGGGCAGGAGCTAGTTGCCGGAATGGTAGGGGCCAGGGGCTCCCGCAGCCTGAGCCTTCTGGGAGGATTCGGGGGTTCATGCTTAAGGCACCATCTTTACCCTGCCTGCTCACTCCCTGGGTTCTGGTGGGTTCCCCACTCTGGGTCTTCACTCTCCTCTGCCTAGAAAGTCGTTCTCTCCGTATTCTTCCTGCTGAGCTGCCCTGCCAGCCTTGCCCGCCCCCTCTCCTCTCCCCCACCTGGGGCTGTAGTCCTGGGTCCCTTCTCCACAGTGCCCCCTCCCACCCCCCATCCCCGGCACATTCCTTGGCAAGTTCCGGCTGTTTGGTAACTTTGTTGGATGGCATTTAAAAGTCACTTCCTTAGTCAGGTCTGGTGGTGCGCACCTATAATCCTTGCACTCTGAGGCGGGAGGATTGCAAGTCCGAGCCCAGCCTGAGCAATGTGGTGAGACCTCAAAATAAAGTTTTTTAAAAGGACTCGGAATGTAGCTCAGTGTGAAGGCCCTGGATTCAGTCCCCTGTTTTTTACTGCTAAGAAACAGTCCCTTCCTGCAGACAGTCTCATGTGTGGTTTCTCAGTACCTCTTATTTCGAATGGCCTGCTGAGGAAACCGTGCCAGTAATGGACAACTGGATTTGTGCCCTAACATTCACTGTGGCAGCCTCTGGTGCCAAAATGCCACACGGCCAGGAAGCTGGGAAAAGCTCCTGAGGATAGTGACCGATAGAACTGTAGGTTTTGGTTTTGTTGATTGCAAGCTTAATGACACATTTTCCAGTGGGAAGAGTCGCCTCCTCCAGGAAGCCCTCGGTGTGAGCACACCCACCCTGGCTCTCCCCTACCTTCCGGAAGGAGACCCGTCACGGGATGGCTCTGCCCTTCATGATGGCCTCCCTTCGGCTCACAAGTCTGGTGTCATTGGCCACCATGTGCCCGTATGGTCTGCCCACTACCACCTTAGAAGAAGTCAAGGCATTCCAAGTCCTGGTCCCCAGCAAGCTGGCCCCTGTCTTGTGCGGTCACCAGTTCCATTAAAGGTGGCGAGGTGAGAGGCAGCAGTGACACTCATCCCCCTGACAGCTGTCCCCTTCCAAGCTTCCTGTGCGAGGCCGGGTCCTGTTCTGCAGCCTCCTAGCAGTGAGCTGGGCCCCTCCTTTCCCATTCACCCCCCAGACTCTGCCTCAAGGAGCAACGACCAACAAATGGACAGTGTCTGCCTGGACACCAGAGATGCTTCCCGGCACAACGGCCACCTCTCCCTCCACGGGGGCGCGGCACACCCATGAGTGTCCACAGCCCTGGGTCCGCCCTGCGCCTCCTGGACTCCTGGTCACTCGCACGCCCTGGTTCAGCACCCAGGACAGCGCTCGGCACAGGTCGGTGGCCCCTGAAGGAATTCAGCGCATTCCCCCAGCTTGCTAGGGTCAGGCTCTAGAGCTACAGTGCTCAGCGGGTGAACTCGAGGATGATTAGGGTTACCATGGGAGTTCCCGCTGTCCATACTGCTGTCCAGAGTCCCGTCGGGAGCTAGGTGTTGTCACCCCCAGTAACAGGTCAGTTTGCTCTCCAGGGTGTGGGCAGAGCCTCCCAGACCTGTGAGCGGTAGGAGCTGAGCACAAAGCGGTCTCCTACCATGTGGGTCCCTCTCCATGGCACAGGGACGGCACAGGCACAGCGGGCCTACCTCGAAGAGCCACACGAGCAGCGCGGCGGTGCCCATGGAGCTCATGAGGCTGCCGTAGTAGCCCAGCAGGGCGTCCCGACAGCCACTCTGCCACAGGTTGAGCTCCTCCGTCTGGTGGTCGTAGCTGTAGTGTGCAGAGTTGTTGGTGAGCTGGTACTGGATGCAGGGCCGCGGTGAGCTGGGGTTGCAGCAGCTGAAGGGCACGCCGTCCACCAGGTACCGCCCGTCCACGTTGCTCTTGATGCGGCTGCAGGGAAACGGGCAGCCTGACACGGGCTTTGGGGCTTCTTACGGGGCACCTCTCCCCCACCTGCTCGGGACACCTGCGCCTCCGTCCAGCCATTCGCTCACTTGCTGTGCACTCACCACGTGCAGCCCCGTGCTAGGCACGGCCCCGGCCCCTGCCTTCCCGGAGCTCGTGTCCTGCAGGGCGGAGCAGATGGGAGCCCCAGAGGCAGGTAAACAGGGACCACAGAGCCACCTGTCCCTCTGTGCCTGGTAGGAAGCCAGGGTGACCGTGCACCTGGCTCTGCCTGGCACTCATGACTGTCAGTGTCGGCCCAGCCCCCACCAACCTCACCTCCCTGGCAGGACCGAGACCAACATGGCACAGTCCTTCCCTGTGAGGTGGCTGCTCCCTTCTCACCTGAGGGACTCTCGGCCATTTGGCTCACCCAGCTAGCAGGTGGATCATGGAAGCCTCTCCGTCTCTGTGTACATTTTAGAGCACTCCGTACATCACAAGGTGCAGAGTGCAAAAGGCACTCGGCAGTGGACAGTCTTCTGGCCCTCAGGAAGGCCATGTGTTCTCCCCGACCTATCAGCTGGGTATCTCACGCTTGCAGATTTTTAAGGAATTTTTGTTGTTGTTGTTTTGTTTTGTTTTTTGAGACAGGGTCTCACTATGTAGTTGAGACTGACCTAGAACTCACTATGTAGCCCAGGCTGGTCCTGAACTCACAGCAATCCTCCTGCCTCAGCCTCCCGAGTGCTGGGATTACAGGCGTGCGCCACCACGCCCAGCAGTTGATTTGCACACTCTGTGTGTTGTCTGCCTTTGAGCCATGTATGACACAAGAGCAGACTTTTACAACACAAGGCTATAAAGCGTGTCATTGTTGGAAACAAAAATCATTTCATACTTGTGAATACAGAAACATTTCAGAAACCTCACTGAAGATGCGAATGCTTAATGTACCTGCTCCATTTCCTCCAGTGGGAGTTCGGTAATGATATTCTGGCAGACTGAGTGTAAATCTGTACTGTGCAGTCCTTATATACTATAGACAGTATGAAATATATGCATCAATAAAGCCTTCAGCATATAAAAAAAGAAAGCTGGGTGTGGCGGTGCACATCTGTAATCCCAGCATACAGGAGGCTGAAGCAGGAGGATCACTGTGAGTGAGGCCAGCCTGAGCTACACAGCTACATGGTGAGTTCAAGGCTAGCCCGAATTATATGAGACGGTCTCCAAAAGAAAAAAAAAGAATATGAAAGAATTGTTTTTAGCAGTGTTCCTAGAAATGGTAATTATATATTTAAAAAGCTGTTCATGTTTAGCTTCTAAATATAATCTTTTTGGGGGGGGTTGAAACAGTCTTGCTATGTAGTTTAAGGTTGGTCTTGAATTCACTGGCCTCAGATTCACAGTGATCCTCCTGCCTCAGCCTCTCACGGGCTCCGATTACCGGCGTGTGCTACCACATAAAGCTCTATAATCTCTTTGATACAAAACAAGCTCCCCTCCTTGTCTCTCAGTCTCTAGGCCCCACCCCTGTGCCATGCCGGGGAGACTCTGCCAGTGCTCCATCCAGCGCAGTACCCGGGCCAAGTCTCACATTGCTTACGGAGTGGCATGGTGGTCATTGTGTGGTAGCCCAGTGGGTCCTGTCCAGGTCCTTCTGTCCAACGCTCGGGTCTCTCAAGCTCCCGTAAATACGAGTGGAAATGATTCGTCTAGGGGTGATCGGCCAAGTCCCTGCCGTAGCTCCCCTGTCCAGTCACCCCCAGCCAGCCATGCTCAGGAGCGTCTGCCCCCCATGGCTGCACCTTCCTGGGTCCAACTTCTGATCTTTGCCAACCTGGCAGGAACCTTGAAGTTGTTTCTTTTTTTTTTTTGGTACCGGAGATTGAACTCAGTTTCTTGTGCTTGTGAGGCAGGAGGCGACACCACTGAGCTGAGTTAAATCCCTGGCCCACCTTGGAGTTGTTTTAATTTCCATTTTTCTCATTGTGGGCATCTCATCCTGTTCAAGAGCCACTGTGGTTTCCTTTCTGAAAAACTGCCGTTGGTTTCCAACCCTGATGACTAAGACTTCTGGAAGGCCGCCCACAGTGGCCTGGGTTGTGGTGACCACGTTTCCCTGTGCCCTGCAGTCCAACCTCTGCTTCTCGGGCAGAACACACTGGCTAGGAAATGTGGCTTGGGTGGCAGGGGTGGGGATGAGAGCCGGGCGGCGGCTGTGACTCCTGGCTGGCTCCATCCTCTGTCGAGCTTCTCCCACTCTCCCTGCCTCAGCTTCCTTACCTGTGACAGGGTCAACGTGAGGGCTGTGCGGAAACATTCACGTAACTATGCCAGGACGGTGCCTGCTGTGCCCCAGGTGCCCCGTAAGTGTGAGCCAGGGGCCTCCACGAGGCTGGCAGGGAACTTTCAGAACTCACGTCAGAGGTGAGCGGAACTGACCACCACACATCACAGGGCATGGTCACCAGCAGTGAGGGGGCGTCAAGTCCTCAAGGGCAGCCAGGGCCCCGCGCTCTGCCTGGCAGGAAGCAGCTGCTGGGACCACGCACGCGCTGACAAGGGGGTTCAGTTCTCCTGTGGGCAGGCAGAGAAGAGAAGTTCGGCCTTGCCCAGCTGCCCACGAATATCCTGGCTCTGTACTGGGGGGGGTCCCCAGGGATGGGGTGCACAGGCCAGAGTGGGGGACAGGCTGGAGGGGAGTTGGTGGGGCTTCTGCTTGGGGCTGCCAGCAGCCCACAGCCCGACTAGGATACTCCTCCCTCCACCCCAAGACCTTCTTAGGGTGAGGAGTGTCCAAACTCCAATGCTATCTATCCCTCCTCCTCCTCACTCACTGGTGGCTGTCCCTTGAGTCCCCCAGAGCTGTCCCCAGGGTCCCCATGGACAGGCATGGGTGTGGCAGAGCACAGACCTTTGAGTTCCAGATCTGTTTGGAGGCAGGGGTGTGGCCTCTGTGTCCCCAAGTGGGGCAACTGTGGCCCTATCTCCTCCCAGGGAATGCCAGTGTGCTCCCTGCACCCCCAGAAAGTGCTGGCTGCCTCCACTTGGGGCCACTTGAACTCGACCTTGAGAACCACCAGACTGTGGCCCAGAAGAGGAAGTTGAGCTCAGCCAGAGCCAGACGGGAAGTAGAAGGTAGCGCAGGGCCTTGGTCATTTCTCTTTCAACTCCTGGAGGGTGAGTTTTCCCTCTAGTTTTCTGGGAGCCCTGGCTCAGCCAATATCACCCAGCTTTGCACACCCTCTGGGTGTCTTGGAGCTGGGGTGGAGGCTGCACGGTGGCCTCCCCAACGGACCTCAGCGGGCAGTCACCCTGCTGGCCCCACAGGGTAGGGCTATGTCCCCCTCAGGCCAGGCTCCCCGAGGGTGCACACGAGCCCATATCTCTTCCTTCTGTGTCTTGCCTACATTACTTTATCTCTAGTGACAAAGGATCCCTAATAGAACGACTGAGAGCCAGGGTGTAGCGCAGCGGTCCCATCTGCCCAGCACATGCATGACCCTGGGGTTCATCTCCAACCCTGGGGAAAAAGGAGGAGGAGGAGAAAGAAGAGAAGAAAGGAAGAGGAGGAGGAGGAGGAGAAGAGGAAGAGGAAGAAGGAGAAGAGGAAACAGCGAGTAGGAGGCACTTTCTCTGTGGGCAGGGATGAGGCTGGCTCATGGCCAGTCCCCCACCTGCTCCTCCAGAAAGACTCAGACCAGACCTGCCGCTCTGCCTGGGCGCCGTGGGACTTGGGCCTGGGGACCGCCTGAGAACCTGGCTTTATCTTAACGGAGACCCCAGCAGCCCCGGGGAACCCAAGCAGAGCGAAGCTGGCAGTCGGGGCAGTGCTGTGTGATATAAATAGCCAGCTAAGATGCTTCCTCTGCCCAGCTTTGTCTTAAGGGCCCAGGGAGCCTTAATCTGCAGTCAGAGGGGGGCAGTCCTGGGGGCAGCAGACATATGCAGCTGGAGTAAACAAGGTGACCCAGGTGCGTCAGGGCTCAGAGTGCCCACACCGGCACCAGCCTCTGAGAGGCTCCGTGCACGTGTCCTCCAGGGCTACAGCCACCTGTGACCAGCTCTTGTCCCTGGGCCACCTCCCCCCAGGGAATGTGAAGCTCCCCTCAGTGGTTTGCTGGCAGGTCCAACTTTGGTGGGAAAGGAGCAAGGAAGAATTTCTTTAGAAAGATCTGGTGGGTGATAATCCTGCTTCCTCCCTCTGAGCTCCTGGCCTCAGAATCCCGGGGCTGGGGAGTGGGCGGGACTCACTGGTAGAGTACAGGCACCAAGGCCCTGGGTTCCACGCCTGGTGCCGCAAAACAAAACAAAAATGAATCCCAGCCTGAGGCTGCTGCTGTGCAAACCAACAAGCTAAATGGTCACCACTTCTCAGTGCTTAAAATCTCAAAGAGAAACTCTTTCTGTATTTTTCAGGGGCAGGTTTTTGGGAGCCAGCTTTGTTGCAAACTTGCTAATCATCCTACCAGAAGCAGTCCAAATAGGAACAAAGAAACACCTTAGAGCCCCCTGGGGTGAAGGTAAGTGCCCCCCCAGGCTCTCTGCCATTCCCAGCGGTTTAGCACAGGCCCCTGAGCTGGCCCTGAGGGCAAACTCAGCTCCTTGAGCTCGGTAGCCACCTTGTTGAGCATAAATTTAAATGCTGCAGGATCCCTCCAGACGCCCCTAGGGGGTGAGGTCACTGCAAGTTCTAAAAAAATGAGGTGAATAGTTCAGTTCCACAGTTGTGTCTGCAGAGGGGCTTTAGGGAAAGTGAAAGCCGGCAGCTACATTTCTCTCCTGGAAGTCAGCCCAAGGGAAATGAGAGACCTACTGAGAGTTTTGAGCAAAAGACTCAAAGATATGGGTCCCAGCGTTGCTCGTAAGAGGTAAAAAGGCCTGCGCGAGTATTGCCGCCTCTCGTCACAGCACACAACCATTAAACATCGCCGTGAACACTTCGTAAACCACAGTTGCCTGTGTTATTCGGCAGATACCAACAAGACTACACTGAAATGCGGAAAAATTAAAGCCATCCATCAGCTGTGGCTGAGAATCTGGCTCGCATTTCTTTTCCTGCTTTTTTTCCTCACTATTGTCAATACTTCCTGACGGTGTATTAAAATACAGAAATCCTTGGGCCGGGGATTTAGCTCAGTGGTTCCACCAACTGCCTCACAATTGCAAGGTCCTGAGTTTGATCCCCCATACCAAAACAAAAAAACAGAAATCCTCCAACTCCATGGAGTTAGGATAATTTCACACCAACAAGGTGGTATGGGCATTGAGGTAACCTTGATAAAGCTAAGTGTTTGCCCGAAATTTTTTATTCATTGGTCATTGGGAGTAGAGCGACATGGCATTTGGGTGATTTTTGTATCTCTCCAAAGACTACAGGATGCGGAAGACTCAAGGGACACTGCCGAGGCCCGTTCCTCTGCTGGGAGAGCTGGCTGTATTACCGCCCCCCGCAGGAGGCCTGCCTGTCCTTGGGCTTCACTTGCTCCTGGGTGGTGTGTGTAAGTCATGCCACCTCGTCCTGCCCCTGTGGACTGTCACCTGGGAGGGGCAGAGCTGCTTACAATCCTCTCGTGGGCTGGGGATTTGTGGCGCTAATCTCCATCCACTGAGCAGCCTCCCGCTGTGACCTTCGCTCTGACCTCTCTTACTCCTGAGGGTCAGCTAAGCCTTCTGGACGCTCAGAAGCACCTGGCCTTTGTGTGTGCTCGGCTGCTCACGTAGTCCAGGCCCGGTGTCTGCTGACTCGCCAGACTTTGAGGGTAGAGCCAGGGTCGTGTTGCGCCGGGGAGAAAGCAGGGTGAGAGTGAGCGAGCCCTGGCTTGGGATGGGCTACCCTGTCCCTAAAGACCCCCAAGAGCCAGGCTGCCATCATCAGTGCAAGGGCTGAGATTCCTGCCTGGCGTCCACCGGATTCCATTTGTACCTGTGGCAGGGACATCTTAGAAACCCTGTCTCACGTTGCACTGCCATCGTGTAAGAAGTAAACACCAGCAGCTTGATGAGCACCAGCCATACACCAGGCACTAGACAGGGCCAGGATTGCACACCACGGTCACCCATCCCAGCGCCTTCATTTGGAAGACAAGTGAGCTGAGGGGCTGGGGATTTAGCTCAGTGGTGCTGCTGCCTGCCTGGCAAGTGCAAGGTCCCAAGTTCGATCCCCGGTACCAAAAAAAAAAAAAGACAAG